GGGACGAGAGGCATGTCAACGCGTATGTTACGACTTAATAAATTGTCATTCATGTAATTTGGCATTTTTCTTTCATTCTGTTCACTCAGAAGAATTTAATTTGTACTTGGGCAACTTGGTTACCCAGCTTTAGAAACCTGCCGCATTAACGCTTCTGATATCGTTGGAGAAGTCTGTAATTAAACTGGGTCCAGAAATGGGGGATAAAATGGCCATCACATAACGTACCTGCTGAAATAATGATCACAAGTGCACATGCCTTGTGAAACCAGATATTTCTGTCCATTAGGCGTCCAAATACACCGTTAACAACCTATAGTACAAATAAGCCATACATAGGCGACATGCAATGTTACTCTTTTGGTACAATGCTGGAAAAAGAAATTATCATCTAACTAGGTTATTTTAGGCTAAACTTCACTAGTCTTAATTAACGATGATTACTCTTGCTAATTATGCTAATGTTTGTCCGTTAGAGCAGTCTTCAAATGAGTGTCGTAAAACCAAAACCAAATTAAAGTAATCATTCAGGCCAGTCACAAATTACACAGACGATTCAGTGAACAATCAAAACTCAAAGCAAAGACATGTAGCTGACGAAAAACGCGGGAAAAGATGTGCATGAGTCGCGATTGGCTTTGGTTTTACTGCTAATTGGATAACAAAGTGGCGCGAATTCTCTCAGCCAGTCGCTTAGCGTGGTAATTCAAAATCAAAACAAGCATGAATTTTTTTGAAAATGAAACATGTTTTTGACTGTGCTAATACTTGGCTTCACACTAGAAGCTAAGTTAGTTTCAAGTAAGCAGTTGGCGGACTCAATCAAGTGCACTTGAAAGTCTCAAGTCGCACTTTAGAAAACTTGGCTTCACACCTGATGACAAAGTGTGTTACTTGAAGCATTTTCGCAGTAGAACTTGTCAGTTATACATACCACAAATGCGATTGTTCGTCAGTAAAATCGTGAAAAAATGCACATAGTTGCTTTGTTGCTAAAGAGCAAAGCAACAAACGACATCTTCTGTATTTCTCTAGAATGGCTCAACGCGGTTTTCGGCAAAGAAAATGCTGTAGGGTTTTAGCTAACCTAGAAAATGCATTTCCGTGTGACTCGTCTAATGTTCAACAGAGTTTTTCGAGTGCAAAGAAATGACCTGGTTGAAACTTGAAACAGCAGCTGGTTTGTAATTTCAAGAAGAGCATTTGGTGTCGGATGATATGAAAAGCGAAGGTTTAGGCTGTCTATGAAAATGAAATTCAAGCAATTAAGTCGTTTATCGGTCCGTTCATCAGAATTATAGCAACGCTGTACATCGCTTTTATTTGGCTTCCATTTCCTATTAGTCAAGTGCGTTCTCAAGTGTGGTGTAGACCATACTTGGCGGTGCACTTCGGCTTCTTTGATCTACGAACGTCTCCATGGTCACTAAGTAAAGTCCAAGTAAGTGCATTTTACCCCTTCACACTCAAAGTAGGTTCCAAGTGCACTTAGATTATACTTACAAGCTCTAGTGCGAAGCCAAGTAATTTAAAAGTACCTGCCTTAACAGTCAGCTTTAAAATTGACGAGAAAACTGCTCTCCTTTCTCAGTTCAACAAGGTTCAGGTTCTCATGCAAATAACGGCTGGCGTTGTTTGTCTCACCTTGTTAGAGTTCCTGATCAGCGCTAACACATTTCGACACATAGGGAGCAGTACCAGGCAACAACTGACGTGTAGAACCGAGGCTGCGCCGCGTGACCAACACAAACTGTCCTGAAAACATGTAAAAATTCCATTTTATATTTTCAATTGAATGACATGCATGTACCACTATGCTGACCGAGTCTTCTTTCAAAACGACACTTACCCCTAATATGGCATGGAGGTAATAATACTGAGGGCTATACCGGTACTTGAAGTAAGAAGACAGGAAAACTGCCACAACAGTCCCTGATATTATCGCCTGAAAAACAAACAAATAGCAACGTCACTGTACATTTATCGCACGATTAAATAGCGTGAGGTCATCGTTTCGAAAAGCTCCGTTTTCAAAATGTTTTTCCGTTCACGCTAAAACGCAGAGCCGACGTTTTCAAATTCCTTTGGTTTAAAGGGGTTTACGAAAAGGTCCCTTTTCCTGATGGATTAATGTGAACGGCAAGCCTAACCGTTGACTAACGAAGCTGTGTTTTCAAATTTCTCCGGCGCAGTGTGTATACCATGCTCTCTACCAATATAACGCGCCTCGTTGGCTCGTAAAATATTTTGTTTAAAACTCCGGTAATAATGCACAGCTAGCTTTCTCGGGTTGGTTCACTGAATCTCGGTTACCAGCCATTATACCTGCGTTTGACCTTATATGGAAAATGAGTTTGGCGAGTGCCGCTTAGTTTAATTTTTTTGCCGGTAAATGAAAACTCTGTCGAAAAAAATGACTAAAAGAAGCACATTTGTTGAGCTTTCTATCGCGAAAATAAAGCAATAATGTACGCAATGCTACAATGCTACAAAAAAAAACAACACCAAAACTGAATTTCACTGTTAACTCAACAACTTTAAGAGTTTGATCTGAACCATTTACTCCAAAGGGCTTGTTTTAAAATGTACAACAGCGAATCAAGAAAACAAGCAAAGATTTCACGCAAAGATCCAAAACCCGACACGATATCGTTCCAGTTATTAGTGAAAACAGATTTCCGTATAAAATTAAGCTAAGCACTCCAGTAAAGTGTGTTACCCTACATACAATTGGGTCTTCCCCTTTCATACTTCAGTAAACTCGATTCTGTAGTCTTGACGTGGTGGCGACCACGTGGATAAGTAAACTCTTGCTTCATTTGGCTTGAACAAGGCGCATAATTTTCAGCAACCCCACTACTTCGGATCTTCACGTACCGGTAAACCTTTTGCTGTTCGTCGCATTTTTTCAGAATGTAGAAGACTATAGAGGTGATTACACGAAAAATATCTGTCTCGCTCACTTTCCTTGGCTTTATTCCACTCGAATTAGAAGTGATCAACGCGCCTCGTTCGCTATTTACCATTTGGTATCCAACGAGCGCTCATGGAGTAATTGTTTAAAAAACACACTCTGAACATGTTCTTAAAAAAAGATTCTCATGAAACAGAAAGAGTTTTTAAAATCAGATTTCTTTCAAAGAAAAACGCCTGGCTATATTTAATTTAATCCTTTAATCAGCGTTTTTCTAGACTCGTGTTATTTCACCTTCCCTCGTTTGTTTCTGTCGCAGAGTTACAGGAACAGTTTACAAGGGCGTGACGTAAGATCGCCCCATTTCCTAAACACTTGAAATAGTTTTCCTGCCAAACCCAGGGTACTCGCTTATCAATATTGTTCATCATAATCAATAATAACCGCAACGTAAACTACATTCCAATTTCACTTTGACATGGATATCAGAACAAGCAGAAAAATAATTCGTCATAATTCTAGGTGCTTTTGGAGAGAAGTTCTTCGAGTCGAATTATGATAAGAAATGATATTTTGCTGTGTTTTGCTCTTTTGGAGGCGAAATAACCTTTTAATCGAATAAACTATCAAGATGTGTTTTTTTCTTGCGAACAATATTTGAAAGAAAAGCTTTCAGACCTCATAAATAATGTGTCCTTAGTCGCGGCATTCATTGACAAATTTACTCCTTCCGGCTCGAAACTTGTTTAGACTTGCTCTCACTAACGGCTAGTCTCAGAGTTGGTCATAATTTATGGTTTGTTAAAAAAAAAAAAATAAAGATTCTTCTTCCTCTTTGGTTGTAGGGTCGGTGGAATAGTTTATCAGAACTATAGTTGTACGAAACTCGCATTCAAGAGAGTTCTATAGCCCTCACTGCATTAGCACAGTCTTCTCCTATTGTTAAGGCTGCAAAAAGCCTAAAGTTTAGTACGATTCAGCGTATTGGTTTTGAAGCGGCTATTAATAACTCAACGTTTTAATAGTTCTCTTGAGATTATGTAGGTGTAGGAATTTTGATACACAAGGCAGCCTTCCAATATCAAAACTTTATCTTGCTGACGAAATAATTGCAAGAGATCAGAAAATAATTAGTGTGCAGTAACTTAAAAATGTCAAGTTGTAATCTCAATTTCTTTCAATTAACCTGGCAATTAACGTATTGTGATAACACTATTTCCATCGATGTGGCAACAGAATTGAATGAAAGAGATTCGAAATTTTTCATTAACTGGAAACAAGAGGTAACTACCATGCAGCCAATATTTATCAATGGTGAGTTTTCGCTGAGTTTCGTTCAACCATTACAACGGATAAGTGCTTACCGATCCGAGAAAATTCCGGAGACGGCCGAGGGTTCGATGCAGCGACTTTCTAACTTTCATCTGTTTAGCCATGTGCGTCTCGCTTCTTAAATTCAATTCATCTGCGCTGTCAGTCGATGCTGCTTTCTTCAATGTTACTCGAATAGAGTGATCGTGTTAAAGCTTAGTTTTCCTACCACAAACGCCGGTTAAAAGTCAATGTGATCCCGGCGTTTCAGACACATGGGTAACAGCCAAACGCACGCGGATCACATCGCGGTGATTGGATTGTTGTGAATCACGACATCAGTCAATCAACAAAAGCTCTTTGTCTTTTGATGAGAACACAAAACAATCCACTGCGGTTTCCGGTTGGATGACCATTATGTCACATAGGAAAGAAGAGCGTTAAATCTTAAAAAAACAATTTTTTGCAGAACTCAATTTAAGCTCTCTCTTTCCCCCT